AATTAAATTCGTACGGAGAAGGAGATAGGTAAAAATGGCTTGCCGCGAATTTTTGGAATCCGGGGATACCTTTCTTGAAGCTCAACTCCACGCCGTTCCGGAGGAGATAGTGCCACAAACAAACAAACAAATAGACAGACAGACGCGCATAGATTTTAATAGTATAGACTTCTCTAGAATACTTTAGCTATATGAAGTGCTAGGTCTTCCTAATCCGGAACAATTTGTTATTTCCCTACCAGAATCCGATCATAGCTGTGCCTCAAGTGAACCAAAAAGCATTACAAGCTCTAATGGCTTTCAAAGTATCTTTTCCAATATATGGCTATATGGGGATTCAGCTATTGCTTGCACGCGCACTATATCCTCCTTTACGTTTCAGCGGCTGACTATCGACAAAGTACGCGCCTTTGTACCGACATAATCCGACCTGACAGTAATCTACTCCATGTCTTGATAATTTCAATTCTGAAAAAGAGTGTCCGCACAATAGGCGGCGAGGCCTAAGCACTGCTATTGCGGATCTGTATTCTGTGGATCGTAATTATGGACTGATACATTCAGTACCTTTTTTGTCGCTTCGTGTGCGTGAATAGAACCATTTGGGGGTTACTTATGGAAAGTGGACCTAGAACTCACACGATGAGATAGGAAGATTTGGTGGGTTTTATATATATGATTAGGCAGAATGTCACTGGTTGGAATTTGGAGAAGAGCCCGTTCACATGTTCACCACAGCATTTGTAAATGGTGATAAAAGAGGATCATCTGTTTCCGTTGACGGTTTTGTTGACAAGAAGTTGTATTCTTTCGAAGGAATGCTTTTGAATGCAAGTTTTGCGAATTCTGCTTCTAATTTTAAGTATTAAAATAGAAAAAAAAAATTCCTTCAGCATCTTCACAGCCGCTTGTGAAAGGATTATGTGTTTCCGGTCTTATTTAGAAGGGATGAGTTTTAAGACATACACACTGAGTTAACAAGAAGCGCTGGGAACTAACTAAAATCATCTTCTAAATCTAAAATATTTTACAAGCGAAAAGAGCATACATTAGAAATTTCGACTGATGTAACCCAAAATAAATATTTCTTAAGAAGCAATGCTTTATTTAATGGAATACTTCAACCCGTAGAACTATATACCCCTTTTACATATTAAAGAGTCATAAAGCCGCGTAAATAAAAACATTCCTCGGGCTTTTAGTTTGATTTTTTTTAAATAAAACCTATAAATAATAGAAAATAATGGAAATTATTCAAATAAAAATAAATGTTTCTTGTGGTAAAATAAAAATTGATCACTTATTATTCATTATCACGACATCTAAATGTTTATTGTGACAGAAATAGGTTTCTAAATTTTAGTGAGAATTTTATTACATCGAACTTTTTATGAAAATATTTTTTCAAAGAGTAAAACAAGTAATTTTCTTAGGTTTGTAAGACGTTGAAAAAAATGTATCGTAAGAGTACTACATGGGAACTTTGGTATATTTTGTGAAAGAACTTCAACTTCTCAGTAATCCTAATATGATAATACATTATAGTTGTTTAAAACTATATGTTTAAAGTATAGTTTGCATCATGCTGTTTATGAACCAGCCTTCAAAACTTGTTCTGAAAATTTATGAATATTTTTTTTTGCCTTAAAATTTTCTAATAATTTTAACTAGGATTTTTTTTAATAATTTTTATTATTAAGTAGACAAAAACCGGAAAATATTGAAATCCCATTAAATACGGAACACTCAGGTAGAAATGATCGTAGATTTAGCTGAATAATCTAAAAAAGATGTAACAACAGACGATTCTAAAATCAATAATATAATTCACTCCATTCCACAGACTTGCCGAAAATTTTGAGAACATAATCAGTTTGGGCTGAAAATTCAAATTTCCGAGTTGGAAAACTCCCTTTTTATTGTTTTATTGTTTGAAGAAGGCGAGCAGTGAATTGTAAATATCTATAAAAATTAGCAATTAGATGTATTATAAGTCCTATGAATTAAATGTATAATAAAATCTATGAGATATTAAAAATAGCATTTAAATTATTTATATCAAATGGTAATATTATAAGAATTCACAAATTGCCAAGCCGCTTGAATGAAAGAATTTGAGATCATATGCTGCATGGAGTTGCAGTACTTGTCACGCTGTATAGAAGGTAACTCTGGTAACTTAAGTTAACATACCGCAACTGAAAGCGAAAAATGGATACAGTTTTGTAACGTCAAAATTTTCAATAAGCTTAATTGAATGTTTCTCTCACGTGAAGTAAAATGCCAAACAAAACTATGCATTAAAAGCTCGAATGGACCGACCAGTCAAATAAGACCTATAAAAACTGGTAGTTTAACCCGAGTTCCTTTCCATTTTCTGAATAGCGTTTTCGTCTTTTTCTAGTGAGTTTTTCTATTGAAAGCATTGTTATGTACTCGTAGATAACGCCAGTGTATTTTACTGTAGTAAAATAAGCCAATTAATTCCTCCTGAATGCTTAATATTTTTGAAAAGAATACAAAACCCTTTTTGTTTGCCAAGGAATACACCATGATAAAAAATTAACTACTGGATAGTTGTCAATAGGTATTTGAAACTAAATAAAACAAAGTAGCGATATTTTACGTTATTTAAAGCCCAATAAACTATTCTGTGAATCTCCAAATGACGATTCTTGAAATGAAAATGAAATAATAAATGAACTTCTAAAAACCAAACGACATTTGTACTTTTTCTGCAATGTATACAAATTTAATAGATAATATGAAAGTCAAATGAAAGAGAAATAAATTTAATCTTTATAAAGTAAGACCAGAAATCAGATAATTCTGAAAATAATTTTAATACTTGCAGAAAGTTGCCAGTTTATGTGCTTTTCATGTAAAAATGAATGCGAAACATAGAATCGTTATAGCATGAGCTTATGATTATGGATTGAATGTATGGCATAGATGAAAAACAGACAAAAAATGGTCAAAGAAAAAACATAACTTTACATTAGTACTCTTAATTTTATAAAAGTACAAGTCTGACAATTGTAAAGAACTTAATTACGAAAACATTTACTAGGAATATAATATGCTATGTAATTCGGTTAAGGATTTGTATAAACCTGTGTATATATATAATTAATTACCAAACCGTTTTTTACCAGCAAAATATCTTGTTTGAAAAGTTTTGGTTTTTAACATTTTTTAAATTCTTTGTAACATTTAATGGATTATTTGAAATTTATTAATTATTAATTTTAATTTTCGGTCTTTGTGAAAAATTAGTTCCAAATTTCTTACTTTATATATATATACACGTACTTTTGGTGAGGCCGATTGCAACCGAAAAGGGAGGTGAACAACTACGTGTTATATAAGTTCCATATACAAAATTTGAATGTTCTGAGGCTACTCGTTTTTGTGTTTTGCGAGATACATACGTACGTGTCTACAGACGTCACGAAAAAAAGTCTCTTTTGAATCCTTTTTACAAACCGTTTTGGAATAAATAGGGCTTTATTCTGCCTGTACTTACAGATGTCACGCAAAAGCATCGTTCTAATGGATTCGAGAGGGGTCAAATAGATATTTTCGTTGAAATATGATACCCGACATTTTTCGCGATTACAATACTTCCTTTACTTTGTATAAGGAAGTAAAAACGAGATTATAGGAGCCGTTTTTGAATAATCATTAAAAAGTTGAAATGTACGTCTTTCCTCAATGATGGGACATTTAAATAAAAAAAAAATTCGGGGGCTTTAAAACTAATTAGAAAATAGAGGCAACAGCTTTGTACCATTTAAAAATATATAAATAACTAATGAACAATCATTAACATAAGTGAAGCAAAAATAATTTGGTTATAACTAAAACAATAGACTTCTAATTCTGAGAAACAAGCATTTTTGATAAAAAGGCAAATCAAACTTCTTAGTAAATAACAAACCCACGGAAAGTTGTAAGGATTCATTAAATTTATCTTACAGTTAATTTTTATTTTAAAGTACATTTCCTTTGATTCCCATTTTGCACCGACGCTTTCTTGCCAGAATGTTAATAAGCTAGCGCTCTTGTATTCAAATCGGATATAAAGTAGTAGTATTTAAGGGAAGGTTTTGGAAGGAGATTTTAGAAAGTGTTATGCCTGCTTGAAGACTACGTTGCTGTCTTGATATACTAGTCGTTAGATTTCCGTAGTTTTCAGAGCTTCTAGCCATAAGCTTGTTTACGCAGACTTTCAAGAGTCAGAACCTTCCTACGCGTTAAACTGTCCTGTGAGCCGTTAAGCTAAACTTACTACATTTAATTTTAAGTTCAACATTACCTTTTTGAGTTTAATTAGAAGTGCTGGCTTCTATAAGCACCAGTCGGTGCCATCTGTGAGTATATTGAGTTAATAAAGAGTCATTCACACGCTTCTCTGGACTTTTTCGGACTTAAGACTCGAGAATGATTCCTTCCACGGTCTTCTAGAGTCTCGTTAGTTTATGCTTGCGAATAACGCGAGAAGCAATAAAGTTTTTTTAGGCAAATAACATCAAAGACTTTCAATTAAGCCTTTTTTTTTTTTTTTTTTTTTTTCAAACAAGATTTTGATATAAAAGAAGGAAGCTTAAAGAAAATAAAGCTATATTTGAATCTAATCAAATTTTATTAGAATTTGGTTATTGAATTTTGTCACCTTTGGTTATTAAAACTTTATCAAATTCTCTTGGATTGTCTGTAAGTATTCAGCAGTTAATTTTGGCCGGTACAGTTAACTATTCATGTGTAAAATCTATCGTTCTCTAATTTTACCCAAACTAATCAAACCCTCTAATCTGAAAGATCCTCTTTTGAAGATTTAAAACCAGGATGGGAACAGCGCAAATTAATCATAATAAATATAATAATCAAATCATAACAAAACAAGCGTTTCTTTCTTAGATTATTATTATTATTATTATGCAAATGAATATATGTTATTGCCGAATTAAATGTTTGAACAGAAAGGCGTATAAACTTACATTAGAGCCGGACATCATTATGTTACTGAAAGACCTGGAAAAAGAAAAACATATTTAGTAAATTTGAATAAAATAACTATCTAACATCTTTATAAATGCGAAACTTGTATAAAATACGTATAAGTACTTTCTTTTATTCTGTTTAAAGTTATACTTGCACTAAAAATGAACTGGTAGTGTTAAGCTATTCCTACATTACAAATGTAGGGATTCCTACATTATTCCTACATTCCTACATTAAAATAAAATATAGGAATTCCTACATTAAAATAACTTGAACAACAGAGCTACATTTAGTGCGGAACAAAAGTGTACACGTTAAATCTAAAAATGCGTATGAAAGCATAGCGGTAATGGGCAAAGATAAAATCATTACAATATTTAACAAGCACACAAATTATAATAAAATAACATAAAAAAATCTTTGATAAAGTAACATAGTGGAAATTCATTTGTGCAGTATAGATTATATTTAATGTACAGCAATCTGGAAAATTTATTCAAGCTTTCTAATTTATACATATAAAAATAATGCTATAGTTTAGCTGATTTTAATTCATTCATCTGTTTATTTACACTGTATGTATACACACAAAAGCAAAAGTTAAGCAGATAATTCATATATGATATAAATATAAATAAAAATATAAATGAAGTTAAATACAAGTAGAAATGATCCAAAAAATGGAAAGAAATTATTAGATTTCCAATCAGCCTTTAAATTTTGCTGCTTTCTTTAATGTTATTAATTAAATTGTCTTACATACAACGATAAACTGTGAAAATATTTTTCCATAGCTGCTGTAATTTACGAGGCTTTAAGATACTGTAATAAATACTCTTGAGATTAATTATTCATCACTTCTCCTTTAATTCCTTATATAGGTGCTCATCTTCTTATTGCATACCTCAAACGATGACTAATCTAACCACCAGAGCATACCTTTCATTACTAGAAAATACATGCCTACCTTCTAGGAAAGCATTTCTGATATATTCATTAACGCCTTAAACTCTGCCATTGTTATATGAACTCAAAACCACAACTCTAGCAATTAAATTTTCTCGATATGCTGCAGGAAGTTTGGCCGATGTTTCTGACTCGAGTAAGTGTCAGTTTCCGCTTTGGTGAGGTGCGAAATGGCTTCGCATGTCTCTTAGTATTTTAACGCGGAAGTGGCAATTTCCTCAGGTAACTCCTTAGGTAATCAGACACTTTTAAAGCACTGTTTGGGCGTTGGACTTTAGCATATCCGCTCATAGATTTTTAAATGGCGCCATACAAGTCTTGAACTAGACGATTTGCTCAAGTCGTTACTATCTAAACTTGATGACAAAAACTGCTAATGGAATTTATGAAAGAGTTTTACATTATTTATAAATTATTACTAATGAGCATTAGCTATAACTGTAGATGGAGATGTCAGTTCATTCATTATACTGAGTCATTCCTTAAACTTTTGATAAAACATAGTGATTATAAAAATGATGGAAACACTTTTGGGCTATTCAAATGAACTACAATTAAGTGATTAAAAACAAATAATTATAAAATAAATCAAAAGGGTAGCAAACTAGTCGAAGCTCATTTGCGAATAAATTTTTAAATTTTACATAATAAGGTTCTGGAAGAAATTATTCAAACATATTATATAGAAAAATTTTCTTTACTTCTTGACCCCCATAAAAGAATATAAATCACATTCTGCTTTCCAAATTCTATTTGAATGTTGTTTAATAACTTTTCTTCTTTGCCGACTGAGAAAATAACTCTAACGTTATTACTTTCACACGAAGAAATATATATATATATGTGATGTACCAGCTTTTGTCAGGAATAAATAGATTGTTGAAGAATCATCAATGTAGTCGTAGCTTAAATTATCAGACGATAGTTTTAAAAAACAGGATCCATTTATTAGTTTAAAAAGACAGGATCCATTTATTAGTTTAAAAAAACAGGATCCATTATGTATTTCAGGAGAAAATAGCAATTACAAAAATCTGATCTCCGGAGTAAATAAAAAAGAACTACTAATAACATTTTGTATGAAGTTTTACTGCATCGTGACATTTAAGAAAAAAGCCCCGATATTCATTTTGCGAGTCATTTTATAGCCTCTGGAAAGGCGGAGCTTCCAAGAAATGACGTCAGCCTCGTCAGCCAATCCAGTTCGCTTGAAATATTTCCAGAACATTCTAAAACTGTACGTGTAGAAAAGGCGGGAAAAACAACTTAACTACGGGGCTGTGGATAATTCCACGTACTTTCAAATAAGAGAACGTCGCCATTAAAAATGAAAAGAACATACAGTTAGAATTTTAAGTGTATTCTTGATTATGGAATTTTATTATTACATATATATATGTATATGTATGTATGTATGTATGTATGTATACAATAATAAAGTAATTTCTCGAATAACTAATTCAATACTGGAAGAAGAACACGCGAATGAAAAATTTAAAAATTTAAAATGAGGTTATAAGAAACACACAAAAAAAATTATATGATTGGACTAGATTTTTAATAAAACTCTACAGATTTCGAGGGCATCAGCCTAAGGTTGCTTTGTTTGCGTAATTCTAAACTTTTTAATAGAAGAGACTATTTAAAATAATTATTAGAATAAAATGGCAATTTTTTTAAATTAAATTTTTAAATAAAGCCTCGAAAATAACCATTAGAGACATGTTTTTTGTCAAATTGTATGTAACATACATACATACGTATATGCGTATTATTGCATGCGTACTGCTTCGGAATGGTTTGAATGCGCACAGAAACGATGATAGCTTGATAAAATTTATTTCACTAAAAGAAAAACTTTACATTTCTGGAACTTTCCACAAAAATATTCGTACAGGTTTTCTCAGTATCACAGAGCACAATCGGTAGTTACACTTCAAACTACTGAGAACGTTAAATACAAAACAATGCAAAGCGCATCTAAAGAAAGGAGCTCACTCGAAGATATCTCAATACTTGGAAGTCGACACTGAACAGAGCAAACTGAGAATTGATCCTCTCTTTAAGCTTATATATTTTTCTCCCGGCCGCCGAAAAAGCTCTATTACTTTTCATTTCTCGAAATTCCTGGAAAGCATGTACGACTAAAGTTGCAAGGGCAGGATACGGTTAGAGTTACATATAGCAATCAATTACAGTTATTCGATTACAGTACCGGCTACAGAGGCTGAACTAAAATGTTTTGGAGTTTTCTCGCCAAATTTGGAGAAAAAAATTAGTTGCCAAAACCATTGCCAGCTTGGCGATATCTCGCCAGTTCAGCAAGGTAGCCATTCACCTCAGTGTTAAACAGACTTGCTTTTGTAAACTTATTTTTCGGGCAGAACTTCGTCTCTTTCAAGCATTTCATGTTACAATATAAATAAATAAATAAATAAATAAATAATAAAAAATAAAAAATAAAAATTTACAGTTTTACATGTAATTTCATTAAAATTACATGTGAAATAAATTATTGTTATATGAACTCAGAACCACAACTCTAGCAATTAATTGCCACTTCCGCTACAAGATTCGTAACCCGAATATAAAATTCGTAATAGTATGTTAAAAAAAAATCTTCTGGCTGTAAGTGCATAATTCTCTTGGGTATAATTCTGGAAAAATTAAACTAATTATTCAGTAAAGTTACTGCAAGTTAACTTTAAGGTATTGAATTGAAATTCGATTAAAACAGGCATATTTATGAAGTTGCTCAAATATGCCTCTGTTAATTTTAATCCTTACTGCGAAGGATCCCGCCTTTCAAGTCACCGCCAAATTATTAATTAATTAATTACCTTTTTTAAAATTCCCAAACATACCTTGCGTTTTAAGCTGAGGACCCACCAAAATTTAAGATGAGGTTAAACATTCCCTTCATAAACGCGCCAGTGCATATTAAGAAAGTTTGTCTTTTCTATGGTCCGTTTTCTTTGTAAGCTGCGCACGCACATTGATATGTATGATATTGATATGTATGCTTTTAATTTCAATGCACAGCATCCTATTTCCGCACAGGAATATATGAAACTTTCATGACTTAACTAAATAAGTTACTAACAACTATAATGAAAATTAGATGAAACGATGTTATTGATAAAATCTTAATTAAAAGCATAACATATAACACTGATAAGAACTAGAAAGGCACAAAATGATAGATGGAGCTGGCTGAATACACAAGAAAAAGAAGTTATTTTAGTGATAAAAATAAATGAAAACCACATTTTGTTGCCAATTACCAATCTAAACGAAGGGTGGTAGTGAAAACAGATATGCACATGCCAAGATTTGTAACTGATTAGAGCCGAAATGTTCATTATCTCAAATAATGTACTTCATGATGCAATTTTGCATTATTATAGCCTGAATAAAAATTTGCGAGAAACAATCGAAAGGATAACTTAAAATACATAACATCACATTTTTAAAAAAAATTTGTCATAAAACGTTTGCATTTAATATTTAGTAACACATAAATTTAAGAAAATTATTATGAGGCCAGCACATATCCTCCCTCCAATGGCAGTATAGTAACGAGCTTTAATTAAACGATTTATTCAGTCAAACCATTTGTAAATAAAATATAATTTGTTTATAAACTTTATGGCTCAGTGTTACTTATAAACAGTACTCACTTTTAGCCCAAAGGGGCGGTAGCCGATAACGGCCATTAGTTAGTTCCGAAACGACATTGTACGTTGCTTCACTCTTCACTAGAAATCACTTCACTTTTCACTTTTCAAATTGTTACCACCAAATATTATCGCAGTGAATTATTTTTAAGTAAATTAAATAATGAAGAATCTGCATGACTGTATCTCTGCTTCTCGCATTGTGAAAAAACAACGGTACCTACAGCCATCAAATTTTTAGTAATGTAGTCATTCATCCAAATAATGTGCCCGAAATGTGAATTTTGAATTTGTTTTATTATCTATTTCATAATTTGTAAAATTTCAACGAATTTTTGATTAACAAATTCAAGGATTTCAAAGCGAGCAAGGGCAACATTGTACAGA